ATTTAGATAATTTTTCATAATAACATTTTTTCAAATAAGCTATCAAACAGGCACTTTATAATGTTGAATTTATCGCCAAATCACACAAAACTTTGAAGCAGAAAAGTAAAAAGGAGACAATATGCAGTGCCGACAGCTCACTCATCTTTTGCAATATTTCTCACTTAGGTTTTTTGAGCAATAGCATACCTAATCACATTTGGGCTAAATTGTTTCAGCCCAAATCTTCACAAACCAATTTCAAACCCAATTAATAATTGGGCTTGTTGTGTCAGGGACATTGCTAAATGAATTTTACTTAAAAAAATATTTTGTTCAAATGAATTAAAAAAAAAAAAAAAAAAAGCAAATTTGTAAATGAATTTGTTAAAATGATTCTTTTGAAAATTAAATTTGGTAAGATAAATTTGCTTAAAAATAAATTTTCAAATTGAATTTGTTTAAAAAAAAAAGTTGTTAAAATGAATTTGTTGAAAAAAAATTGTAAATAATTTTTTTTCAAAATTTGTAAATAGCTTTTTTTTTAAATTAGTAAAATAATTGTTTTTAAAAAAAATTAGTAAAAAATGTTTTTAAAAAAATTTAAAAATGAATTTATTTAACGAAAACATTTGGTAAAATGAAGGTTTTGGTTTTTAAAAAAGAAACGGTAAATAATGTAAATGTTAAAACAGACTCTTAGATTAAAATTGGAAGTGCCCCAAAATTTAACCAAAGAAACCCTAGCTTACAAGGGCCAGTTTGTCAGTTTCCAAATTTAATTAAATAAATTAAGAAAATAAAATTGGGTAAATGAAGAAAAGGGTAAAATATACTTTTGTCAATAAATTGGATGGAACCCCTGGTACATAACTGAGTAACTGACAGTAGAGGAATATTTAATACATTCCCAAAACCTTGGGTATGGTAATATAAATTAGCTGATCTTTTAGGAGGTGGATCATAAAAAACTTAATATTAAAATTTCTTTTAGGCCTTCATAAGGCAGCGGTTGATGTACACGAAATATGAAGAGCGTGAAAAATGAGTAGTGGATTTGCCCAATTTTAGTTGTCGTAAGCCTAAGCCTATCATTTTGGGACATCAAAAGATGTAAGAAAAAGACACAAACTAAACTTTTATTTGTTTATTTAATAATATTGATATTAATATTTGATCCAATTATCACGGCAATATTCCAGGCCTTAAAATATTTTTCAAATAAAATTATATATCAAATTAAATTTTGTGTTCCCCATCTGAAAAAATCATCCGTAATGTATAAATGAATGGTAATACTATACTTACAGCTCAATCTCACAAACTTTCTCTTACAACACTGATGTGATAGTTTGTAACTGGTCAGCTCACAAATGAGTCTCGTTTGCTCTCTATAGGCCTGCCTACCTATTTTCGAACTAACTAATTACGAACTGTCACGTCAGTATTATAAGAGAAAGTTTGTAGGATTGGATTGTGAGTCAATCTTTAATTATAAAAAATGTGACTAAAACTTCAATATAAATCGATTTCTCAAACAAAAACAGAGCACTCTATGTCAGTTACCATGTATATGTTACAGTTCAATGAAATAATATAGCAAATCAATATCATCAAACAAGAATGTGAATTTGCTATTTGATTATTAATTTTAGCTGAAGAATAAAATGTTTTACTTTCTTATATACAAAGAAAGAGAACCGTTGTCCACAATTGTTAATGAGAGATACACATTTTGTCTAACTAGATGAATTTCAGCTAATGAACCATGGAGATATCTCATTTCTCTCTACCATTCAAAACAACTTTGATATTTTAAGCATTGGAGTGTTCTCGTCGAAGAAACTTATGGCAGTACTCCTAATCGAGCTTCTGGCAATGTAAATTAAACTATGTATTATGACCTGTGCATAATCTGCCAGTAAATATAACTGTTCAAAATCATAATTAGTAATCTTGTTCAAAAATAAAGAATAAGCACAGTGTGATTGAGAACAATTTTCTTTTTGCCCTCGAAACATATATGGAGAAAGAATCGGTGTAAATTATGCAAATATGTGAAAGCTCACCAAACAATTTAATGTCATACCACACGTGTGAGAACTTGTTTGATCAACGACATCTTCCTCTGTTTCACATACATGAATGAACTTTATGCCATTGTTGTGGCCTTAAGTAGTTCTAGTGCTTCCTTAGTGACTGCAAGATAACTATAAATTCTTAGTATTAACCATGGATTTGTCATGCATGAAAAAAAGTTTAACCAATCACACAATGTTGTGATGTGCTTCCAAATTCAATATCCAATATCCACAATGTTGGATTGAAATTGGGAAAAGAAACTTACACTTCAGCGGTGAAAAAATGACATTCTTTTCTCTTTTTGCATGATATAAATCTTCTGTAGATGGAAAATGATGCCTAGTTTAAATTAGAATGATATAAATCACTTAGAATGAGATATTCTTTTTTCAGATTAGAAGGAATGAATAAAAGCATGATTTTGTGAAGCTTGTGTCATACTTCACCTTTGAGATTGATTTTAAAAGAAAATCATGGCATGTTAAACTTGCTCCACCACGTCAAAGGGAAGTGTAATTTCAGATTTTCATAACTAGAAAAGGCTTTCCAAAATCCTAAATAAGCGAAAAAGCTAACCAAAAGGTCGACCACAAACCTCAATAAGCCATAAAAGGATCTCATTGGAGAATTTACTCTACACAAAAGCTGCATAATTTATTCGACAGCAATTATCAGTATATATATGTAAACACTTGAGGATTTTAAAAGTTTGATATTTGAAAGATCTATAGCTTTAGCTTTCTAAAAGTCATACCCCGCCATTGATTGTTTAATTTGATTGGGAAAGGGTAGCACGTAGCAGTCTCCAATTCTAATCTTTGTTCTCTCATCCTTCTACTATCCCGTAGTTGGACATATTTCAATTTGGGGAAGAAGAATAACTGATGAACATAAAAACTGTCAATCATCCCAATAAAATAAAAGATAAAACAGAGAGCCACAAAGCATTAAACTTTCTTTGACCACCTAATACAAAATTAAGGGTGCTAGTTTGGGATGACTATAAAACTTTCCAAAGACTGATCTGAAAAATAAATAAATTTTTTTTTTTTTTAAAGAAAAAAGGAGAATACTTGTTCAATAATCTGACTGAAAGTTCAATATAATATATAAAATAATGTGATTGAAAGTTCAATATAAATCGATTTCTCAAACAAAAACAGAGCACTCTGTTTCAGTTACCGTGTATATGTTACAGTTCAATGAAATAATATAGCAAATCAATATCATCAAATAAGAATGTGAATTTGGTACTTGATAATTATTTTTAGCTGAAGAATAAAAAGTTTTATTTTCTTGTATACAAAGAAAGAGAAATGTTGTCCACAATTGCTAATGAAAGATGCACAATTTGTTTGACCAGGTGACTTTCGGCTAATGAATCATGGAGATATCTCATTTCTCTCCCCCATTCAAAGCAACTTTGATCATCCAAGCATCGGAGTCTTCTCATCGAAGAAACTTGCAGCAGTAGTCCTAATCGAGCTTTTGTTTACAGCTTTTCAATGTATCAACAAAGCTTCCAAATGTAAATTAAACCCTGTAGTGTGACCGGTGCATAATCTGCCAGTAAATATAAATGTTCACAATCATAATTAGCAATCTTGTTCAAAAATAAATAACATGATAATTGCACAATGTGATTGAAAAAAGTTTTATTTATTATTATTATTATTTTTTTTTTTTTTTTTTGGCCCTCGAAACAGATACAGAGAAAGAACCCCTATAAATTATGCAAATATGAGGAGGCTCAGCAAACAATTTAATGGCATACCACACATTAGAGAGCTTGTTTGTTTGATCAACTGCATCTACTTCTGTTTCACCAACATGAATGAACTTTCAGCCATTATTGAGGCCTTAAGAAGTTCTAGCGTTTCATTAGTGACTGCAAAAGAACTATAAATTCTCAACATTAACCATGGATTTGTCCTACATGGAAAAAGGTTTAACCAGCCACACAATGTTGTGATGTGCTTCCAAATTCAACGTGGATTGAAATCGGGAAAAGAATCTTACACTTCAGTGGTGCAAAAATGATAGACATTCTTTTCTCTTTTTGCAAGATATAAATCTTCCGTAGGTGGAAACTGATGCCTAGTTTAAATTAAATGAAAAAGAATCAAATTACTTAGACTGAGATATTCTTTTTCCATATTAAAAGAAATGTATAAAAGAAGATTTTGTGAAGCTCATGTCATACTTCACCTTTGAGATTGATTCTAAAAGAAAATCATGGTAGGTTAGAATTGCTCCACTACATCAAAGAGAAGTGTAATTTCAGATTTTCAGTATTAACCATGGATTTGTCCTGCACGATGAAAAGTTTAACCAGTCACAAAATGTTGTGATGTGCTTCCAAATTCAACATCCACATTGTTGGATTGAAATGGGGAAAAGAAACTTACACTTAAGTGGTGCAAAAATGATAAGACATTCTTCTCTTTCTGCATGATATAAATCTTCACAAGATGGAAACTGATGCCTAGTTTAAATTAGATGAAAGAGAATCAAACTTCTTAGAATGAGATATTCTTTTTCCAGATTAAAAGGAATGTATAAAAACATGATTTTGTGAAGCTTGTGCCATACTTCACCTTTGAGATTGACTCTAAAAGAAAACCATGGCAGGTTAAACTTGCCCCACTACGTCAAAAAGAAGTGTGATTTCAGATTTTTAGTATTAACCATGGATTTGTCCTGCATTAAAAAAAAATTTAACTAGACACACAATGTTGTGATGTGCTTCCAAATTCAACATCCACAATGTTGGATTGAAATCAGGGAAAGAAACTTACACTTTCAGTGGTGCAAGAATGAAAAACATTCTTTTCTCTTTCTGCATGATGTAAATCTTCTGTCCATAAAAAATGATGTCTAGTTTAAATTAGATGAAAGAGAATCAAATTACTTAGAATGAGATATTCCTTTTTCAGATTAAAAGGAATGTATAAAAGCATGATTTTGTGAAGCTCATGTCATACTTCACCTTTGAGATTGATTCTAAAAGAAAATCATGGCAGGTTAAACTTGCTAGCTCCACTACATCAAAGGAAAGTGAAGTTTCAGATTTTCTTAACCAGAAAAGGCTTTCTGAAATCCTAAATAAGCGAAAAAGCTGACCGAAAGGGCGAAAACAAACCTCAATAAGCCGTAAAAGGATCTCATTGGAGAATTTACTCCACACAAAAGCTGCATAATTTATTCAACAGCAAGAGACAGCAATTATCAGCATATATATGTAAACATTTGAGGATTTTGAAAGTTTGATATTTGAAAGATCTATACCTTTAACTAACATTCTAAAAGTCATACCCGCCATTGATTCTTTAATTTGATTGGGAAAGGGTAGCATGTAGCAGTATCCAATTCTATTTTTTCTTCTCTCATCCTTCTACTCCTGTAGTTGGACATATTTCGATTTGGGGAAGAAGAATAACTGATGAACATAAAAAACTGTCAATCTTCCAAAAGACCTCATCCCAATAAAATAAAGATAAAACAGAGAGCCACAAAGCATTAAACTTTCTTTCTCAACCTAATACAAAATTAAGGGTGCTCGCTTGGTATGACTATTAAACTTTCCAAAGATTGTATCTCAAAAATAAATAAATAAATTTAAAAAATAAAGGAGAGCTTCCATGGAAAATCAAAGCAGAGCTCAAACAGGCCACATTGTAAGCATATAAAATCAATCTTCCCCTTCCCTTTAACATTAATCATTATCAAGTACAGCATTTGAAATGAAGCATAAAAGAACAATATTCAATAATAATGTTAAATAGTAACACATATATTCAACAATTGACCACATTGAACTTCAATTTCAAAATTGTAAGTAAACTTTATAGCAGAATTATTCATACCCACCACACTTAATAATAAGTTGAAATGATTAAATATTAAACTTGAAATAATAAAAAAGATACCAGACAATAACATAACCAATAATTTGATTAAAACAATGTTATTATTTTCTTAGATTCTAAATAAAGTCCAATTAAAACAGAGCCTAATTACTTGTTACCTGTGGCTTGTGTGGTGATCGTTATTGCTCTCGTTGCACATATCGACAATCAATATCTATATTAGGGATGTGAGAGATCTTGGGCCAGTCCTCTCCTGTTTCCTTCTTGTATCGTTCACTTAGAATAGGACATTCACTAAAGTTCAATTCCTTGAGTGTTGTCCTCTGCAGAAGGCTGTCTGGCAGTGCCTTTAACTTGGGGCAGCGTACAATACTCAAGCGAGCAAGACATGGCATGAATTCCTCTCCCTTGCAATCCCACTCTTCCCATTCTTCCGTGTCCCAGAAACTGAATTCTATCAATTTGGGAAAGTGAACAGACAATGAAGATGATGATGAGGTCTCACTGTCTATTCCCCAAAAATCATTATCCACTTTTTTCACACTGGACATTGCTCCTAAAAATAGAGTTTCAAGCAATGGCAACTTTCCCAAATGATGCAAATGCTTACAGTTCGAGCAACCCCAAAAATCTAACACCTTCAGTTTGGTTAACGTCATCCAACTGGAAGGAAATGTGTTGCCTCTGTAGGACGATATATATAAATTCTCTAAATTTGGCGGTGGTTGTAAGGTTTTTAGGATTAGTTCATCATCCTCGCCTAATCTTTCCCCTTCTTCACGTTCATCAAAATTTAATATCAACTGAGAGAGTTTTTCCTTTTTATTAAATACTTCTGTAAGTTCACCATCGCTCACATTTCTTAAATTTCCAAACCCTCTAACTATAAGGCTCCCTTCAAGTTGATTCAAATTTTTCAATCCTTCAAGTGTACATGCTTTGTTATCATGATCGCCTTCACCACTTATAACTAATTCACTTAATCTTCGAAGACCGGTTAATTTCTCAATCCCTTTTGGCATGTAAAGTAGTGTAAAATAAATATTTTCAAATTTCAAACGCCTCAAGTTTACTAGTTTTTCCATCCCTTGAGGTAATTCTTTGAGCTCACCACAAGAAAGACGAAGAGTGTGTAAATTATATAATTCACACAAACTTTTAGGTAATTTAATTGTACGATGGTGAAGTCGGTTATCCCAATCAAGGTGCCTCAAATGTATCAATTTTCCTATCTCTTTTGGAATCTCTTCAAAATCAAATATAGCTTCTACCTTTAATACCCGTAAACATGTCAATTCATTAAATAACCTTGCTAAAACATCACTAGCCAAGCAACCATTATCAAATGTAAGTAAGAGACTACGTAGCCATTTGAATCTACAAGTAGATTCAGGAAATGAAGCCCTAGGTCCTTTAAGAGTTAACATTAAATGACGAACTTTGTCATGAGAAGAGTTTGTTAGTGGGTCTTCGACACCATGGACTTCTACAGAAAGACATTCATTGTTACCTAAAAATTGTGCAAAGTCGTGCACTATATCATGCATCTTATAACCGTAAAATTCATTGTCTTGTAAGAGAGATCTGCTCACTAAATACTCAACATATTCTTCACCAATTATCTCCTCATTCTCATCATCATTTTCCAACCTAAGATAACCTTGAGTCATCCATAAATCAATCAATGTATCTTTAAACATATAACCATAATCTTTTGGAAAGATAGAACAATATATAAAACACCGTTTTACCCTTGGTGGTAAATCATTATAACTCAACATCAAAGGGGTTAAAAGACCTTTTTCAACATTTTCCAATTTCCACAATTCACTACCTAAAACAAGTTGCCATTGGTCTTTAGATTTTTTAAGCCGCAAGAGACTCCCAATAGTTTTTGTAGCAAGAGGTAACCCCTTGCATTTCCTAACTATTTTTTCACCAATTTCTTCTAAATCTTCATACTCACCAGGAGCTCTTTCAGAAAGAGCTAGCTTTCTAAACAATAACCAATTCTCCTCATAGGACAATTCATTAATATTGATAATATCAATTGAATTCATCATACGTGCAACCGACTCTTTACGTGTGGTAATTAAAATTTTACTTCCATTGAGACTATTCTTTAAACAATTATAGAATGGTTCCCATTTCTTGTAATCGTCAGTCCATACGTCATCTAAAATGAGGAGAAATTTTTTATTCTTAATAGAGTTACAAATACGTTGAAAAAGAGATTGTAATTCTACGACATTAGGAGTACAACCTTCGAGAGATTCAAGAATCACTTTGGCGATCCTAATCTCATCAAAAGGGTCCGATACACACACCCATATTATTTTATCAAAATTGCTCTCTACCTGATTGTTATTGTAGGCAAATTGAGCAAGAGTTGTTTTTCCAATTCCCCCCATCCCTACAAGTGAGATTATACGAAGGTTTTGTTCACTACTCTCACACAATAACTTGCTTACTAAAATATTCTTCTCATTATCTCTACCAGATATATCAGATACATCAATAAACGAAGTAGTTTGCATTGTTGATGATCAAGTTTCTCTATAGCTTGAATCTCACTAAGATTATAATCATTTTTCTCTTTGGCTATAGCATCTAACTTTTTATTTATATTTGTTATCTTAACGGCAATGTCACGGCGTAAGACAACTTCTTTGAAACCAAAGCAAGGAGAGGGAAAGAAGCAACACACCTTCTTCTTAGGAGCAAGAGCATTCGGATCATGACCTCCCTCAATTCGCAATTTCAAGATTGCAGTATTCCACTCATCCAACACATCTTCCACCTCATAGCACACGTCTTTGAGACGATCTAACCAAACTCTCACAGCTTCATTCTTCATTTGTTTTTGCTCTGCGTCAAGTAGCACAGCTTGAATGGCTCGAAGATTGTGCTTGAGCTTGTCTACTTCTTCGTCAACATCCCCAACTAGGCTCACCTGTTTTCCGATGAAGCCAGACATCTGCTGAGAAAGAATTGAACCAAGTTGCTCCAAGGCAAAAGAAACAATTGCTTCAGTCATGGTATTGAATGATGAAAGGTAACAAATATCGAGTTATCAAATGTGTCTGTGTTGTGAAAATTCTACCGTCCTTTGTTTCAAATGTTTATAAAGCATGGAAAAGCTAAGGAATGTTTAGCTATTGGGCAAAGTGAAACCTTGCTTTGATGCTGCTTTAGGAATACATAAAGGTTTTTCCAGCTATTCCAATTGTCTTTCCTTTCGTTTACCTAAAGTTTATTTAAAGCAAATATATAATTTATAAAGCAAGATTCTGAAGCATGAGTGGAAAGCAAGTAATTGCAGAAAAGTAAGAAAAGCATACTCCTGAAATATAATAGTATTGTATAGGAGATAACATTGTAATAAAATGGGACTCTGCCAAAAAGAAAAATACAGAGTACTCTGGTTTCTGCTCATATATATTCATCTATATTCCACACATTAAAATATTTGTTTTATTGTTTAATATTCTTTTTCGTTTTTCCGGAAAGTTAATTTCATGGACTCTTCTACTCTTTGAATTTTATATATGTAAGCCAGACATTCATGGACAACTGGCCCATTGATTGCCATTAATATATCAATGCCTATTAGTATTGCCAATAACATCTAGTATTAATTTTATTCTAGAATGGTGTGCATAAATATCTTCTCCCCTGGTCAGCAATGAATATCACATTTTGCTTTGTAATTAAATCTCTGTTTATCTCGTTCTCTCTTTTTTACCTGTTGTCCCATTATTGATAACTTTATATTAAGGTTTTAACATTATTCTTAAGTAAACGACTTTTATCCACCCAAGCTTTGGTCTAATGACACTTTCCCTTCCATCAAGTTCCATATTGACATTTTCCCACTGTTAAATTTTTCCATTAGTTTTATCTGCAGAAGGACAAAATAGTAAATTAGAGACAATTGGTATTGTGTTGAGACTCTCATTCGAAGTTAATGTTTACAGAAGATGGGTTAAAGGATTGTGCAATTTAAGAGGGCTTTGCATAAAGGAAGTTATCAATTCGAAAACTTTCTGGTTCGCGTTTGTTTCTCAGGAAAATTATTTACATTCCGTTCCGTGCATTGAATTGATAAAAACAAATTAAGGGGGTGTTTGTCTGAGCTTATAAGTGCTTATAAGCTAATTTTAGCTTATAAGCATTTGAAATTTTAAGCAATTACGTGTTTGATTAAAATACTTATAAGTGACTGATAAGTAGTTGATGTGTTTGGTAAAATGTAGCTTATAAGTATATTTTATTATAAAATGACTAAAAAATATACTACATTAAATGAGGGTATGCTATGAAATTTTAAAATTAAACAATGATAATGTGATAATATACTTGGTCAAACTAACTTATAAGCAAAGTGCTTATAAGCAAAAATAAAATAAGTATCTCTCCTCAACTTATTTTTTTTTGGCTTATAAGCTCAACTTATAAGCTCAAAAAAGTTATAAACAAACATGTCAGCTTAATTTTGGAACTTATAAGCTAGTTTGACCAACTTATAAGCTTAGACAAACACTCCATAAATTGGCGCAAGATGGGAATCAGATGTCGGAAAATATGCTTTGGGTTTTGCTTCAGCAATTGGTGGTGCCTTTCTTAATATTTTGACGTCTGTAATTGAGATTCAGCATTTTACTAGCATTAGTGTTTGTAATTTTTCACTTTAAAAAGTGGTGGTTTCAAATTGATTTTTGTGCTGCCGGCAAGCACTCTTGAAACTTTGTTAATTTGTTTATTTGAGACGAATTTGGCGCAAGATGACATTCCTAACGAATTAGAAAATATGCTTTGGGTTCAGGAATTGGTGTTACATTCCTAATGATGACCTCAGGAACTGAGGTTCGGCATTTTTCTAGCTTGTGTGTTTGTCAAATTAACAGATTTTCCATCTTTATGAACAACAAGATTATCATTTCCAAACAAATCTGTATAGCCTTCATCAAAGGGTACAAAAGAGAGGCTTTTGTGAAACCCATAAGCCAAAACAAGAAGAAGGGAGAAGACAAAGAGAGAAGAACCCATTTGAGAAGTTGAAGACAAACAGAGAAGGAAAATAAGGAACAGAGAAAGAGAAAAAAGATTGCAGTCGGTGGTAAAAGGAGAGAGAGACAAGAGAAGAAGAGAAGAAAAGAAGAAAAGAAAGAGGGAAGAGAGAAGAAGAAGAAGATGGACTTCTACAGTTAAAATTAACGGACAAAATGTTACGGTGGGTGGGAAAATGTATGTCATTATAAAACTTGACAGGTGAAAAAGTGTCATTATAACTTAAGATGATCCAATCACTTAATTTAGTTGTAACTAGAGGCACTTAATTAATGAATTTGGCTAAAGTTCATTCATGTTCAATAAATGTTATTGATTTTAATTCTAAGAGTAATTCTACAAGTATAAATTTTGTATATAAGCTCAATTTGTATTGATTTATTTATTTTTACTAAATCTTGTATTATTCTAGTTTTAAGGCTGATAAAAAAACTTAAGGTATGCATAAGTCAAATTAATTTATAATTACACGTAGCCTTATACATGCCCACCTTTGGTTTCTTTGAAATTAAGCATTTAAAATAGCGAAACAATGTGTGATACTTGCACATATGGTGGAATTAATTAATAGGACAAAGGAGTACCCACATAGTCCATAATTCAAAAAGTATGCAACAAAGGTGATGGGAATGGAATAACACTAGCAACTAATTGCTATGAATAAATTATGTAATTATGTGACATGGGCCCTACTGTTCATTAACTTTTGTTATATATGCATTGACCGAAAGTCAAATTAATTTATTCTATTACTCTACTTTTGATTGAGTTTATGAAAAGGAATCACTTCATCACTTGTTTGTGTAACTTACTTAAGCATATATTAGAAATGAAATTAATGGTAGCGATCTTTGAAACCCATTTATTTGATTAGTTGCCCCCATTTAAAGGTTATATTTGTAATAATGTCATAATAAATGGTACTTAGTTTTAGAGGAGACAATTGGAATGAAATTAATTGAGTTCTCTAGTTCTTATAAACTTGTGCTTAGAACACTTTTCTTTTCCCTACTAGAGAACCCATTTATTTATGAGCTGATTAAAACAATTCTATATGTTCAACTAATTTATAGAGGCAAATTGTGTTGTTATGTAACATTTTCTCGGTTTTCATTAATTTTTGTCTAATTAATTTATTAATTGCAAAAAAATTGCAAACCCCTTCATGCTTGTTTGATCTATCATTTCTGAAATTATGATGAGGATGGTCAAAACTATAAAGAATTTTCTCCATCTATGGGACCCAAATTAATTTTATTCTGGAATGATGTGTATAAATGTCTTCTCCCTTGGCCCTCTCTTTTTTACTTTTTCTTTAGAGTAAACGACACGTTCCCACCCAAGGCTTTGCAAATCTACAAGTTCCCATCCTTGGTTTAATAAATTATAGATTCTTACTCTTAAATTAACAAAAAATCGTTTAATGTAATGGTGTTGTGCGTGAATTTGCTGCAAAGCTCGAATATTTTGGTAGCTTGACCAACGTTAAGCTCATCGCTACAATTTAGAGCTCGTAGTGATCTAAAGCTCGTTGCATTCTGAAACTTGCGAGGGCATGAAGCTCGGAAGTACATGAAGCTTGCTGCAACCTACTTAATAGATGTTTGACAGGTCAAGGGATAAGACTTATCTCCTAATATCTCAGAGGAGATTATATCAACACTTGATCGGCCCAACTTTGGCGCACAATCACATAAATCACAGGATTCACACCAAGCAAGATCGCTATCCTGAATTTGTCGGGCTTACCTATTTGAAATTCTTCTATAAAACCCCCCAAAAAATAGTGTAAAGGGGTTAGCAACTTGTTTTAGGCAAAAACACTCATTATTTGTGTTTCTTAAAAGCAATGAAAGAAACAGTAGACGTAAGTTTGAGAAATAGCTTGCTGAACCATTTTAAAAATTGTTTGTGTTGTGTTCTTCTTCTGTGACTCCTTTATTATTCATTGCTTATTTTTCATTAATCACACATACATATGTTCCAATTCTGTCAAGGTCAGTCAGATCATTTTGGTTGTTGTAGATCCCTGTAGCAACAAACAGTTTAAGGGTAAAGTGGTTATTTGCAATGTCGTGATAATATCAAGAAATTACTTTAACAAATCGTTTTATAATATCAAGAAATTAGCTCCTGATACTTTTTATATGTCGTGATACCAGTGTTCTAAGTCGTTTTCATCTCGTTTCACAAAAGTTCAAAAATACTTTAACAAAAGGTGTACCAAAAAATGAATAAATCATCACAACTTGCCAATTACTTGATATTAATGACCAACAAGATGATCCAATTACTTAATTTAGTTGTAACTAGAGGCACTTAATTAATGAATATGGCTAAAGTTCATTCATGTTCAATAAATAGTACTGATTTAAGTTTTAAAGAGTAATTTTACAAAAATAAATTTTGTATATAAGCTCAATTTGAATTGATTTTTTTTTTTTTTTTTTACTAAATCTTGTATTATTCTAGTTTTAAAGCTGATAAAAAAACTTAAAGTATGCATAAGTCAAATTAATTTATAATTTCACATAGCCTTATAAATGCCTACCTTTGAAATCAAGCATATAAAAGCAAAACGATGTGTGACACTTGCACATATGGTGCAATTAATGAATTGGACAAAGGAGTACCTATTGACCCCATAATTCAAAAAGTATGCAACAAAGTTAATGTGAATGGAATAAAACTAACAACAAATTGCTATAAAAAAAATCATGTAATTATGTGACATGGGCCCTGTTGTTCATTAACTTTTGTTCAAATAATTAATTAATTGTAATAATTATCTATATACCTTGCATACTTGTAAGCTCTATAATTAACGGAGCCAAAAGAAACTTTATTTTAATTAAGACTTCATTATAGTTTCCATGTTAAGGTGTCCACATGCCAAATTATGAACGGACAAGTTTCATACTTGTAATTGCCAATTTTCTTCTTCTTTTTTGACACCTAATTGATTGATTCCTCTAATTCCTATAAACGTGTTCATGGAACACTTTTCTTTTCCCTACTAGAGAACCAGTTTATTTATGAACTGATTACAACAATTTTACGTGTTCAACTAATTTATAGAGGTAAATTATGTTGTTATGTAACATATTCTCTGTTTTCATTAATTTTTCTCTAATTAATTTATTAATTGCAAAAAATTTGCAAACCTTTACATACTTGTTTGATCTATCATTTCTGAAATTATGATGAGGATGGTCAAAAGTGTAAAGAATTTTCTCCATCTATGGGACCCAAATTAATTTTAGTCTGAAATGGTGTGTATAATTGTCTTCTCCCGTGGCCTCGCTTTTTTATTTTTTCTTTAGAGTAAACGACACGCTTCCACCAAAGGTTTCACGAATCTATAAGTTCCCAGCCCTAGTTTAATAAATTCTAGATTCTTATCTTAAATTAATAAAAAATCGTGTAATGTAACATCTTAAGGGTAAAGTGGCTATTTGCAATGTCGTGATAATATCAAGAAATTATTTTAATAAATCGTTTTATAATACCGAGAAATTAGCTCCTCATATTTTATATATGTCGTGATACCAATGTTCTAAATCGCTTTCATCTTGTTTCACAAAAGTTCAAAAATACTTTAACAAAAGTTGTACCAACAAAGGAAAAAAAAAATCATCACAACTTGTCAATTACTTGATATTAATGACCAACAAGATGATTCAATTACTTAATTTAGTTGTAACTAGAGGCACTTAATTAATGAATTTGGCTAAAATTCATTCATGTTCAATAAATAGTACTGATTTTAGTTCTAAGAGTAATTCTACAAATATAAATTTTGTATATAAGCTCAATTTGTATTGATTTATTTATTTTTACTAAATCTTGTATTATTCTAGTTTTAAAGCTGATAAAAAAACTTAAGGTATGCATTAGTCAAATTAATTTATAATTTCACGTAGCCTTATACATGCCCACCTTTTGTTTCTTTGAAATTAAGCATATAAAATAGCAAAACAATGTGTGACACTTGCACAAATGGTGGAATTAATTAATAGGACAAAGGAGTACCCACATACTCCATAATTCAAAAAGTATGCAACAAAGTTGATGTGAATGGAATAACACTAACAACTAATTGCTATAAATAAATTATGTAATTATGTGACACGGGCCCAACTGTTCATTAACTTTTGTTGTATATGCATAGACCTAAAGTCAAATTAATTTATTCTATTACTCTACTTTTGACACCTAAACCTAATTGATTGAGTTTGGGAAAAGGATTTTCTTCATCACTTGTTTGTGTGACTTATTTAAGTATATGTATTGGAAATGAAATTAATGGAGTTCTCTAATCTCTATCTGTGGGGGTCTTTATGGGCCTGAATGAGTGTGCCAAGTCCCAGCATTCACTACTAACAATAGGCCTTCAAAAGTAAATTACAAGTTATATTGCATTATCTATATGAATGAAATTGTCTAATGCACACATCTTTATTTTATTTTATTTTACAAAAAAAAAAAAAAAAAAAATCTGATTGAGATTCTCACTTGAAGAATCTACAAAAAGAAAAAATTACAGCCAAATTTCTAACTAAAATTCTAAAAAATAAATAAATTATATTAAGCTTAATTTGTTTTAAAAACACCCATGAATCAGCAATTAGTGTACAGTTAAACAAAATCAATTAAACTTTGAAACCTTAAGCCATATTAATCAACCAATAATGTTTTGCTTATAAGTTATAACAGAGTTATATAAACAAATAAAAATTACATAAAATTCATGTAAAATAACTTATGTTTTTTGTCTATTTGTATGACCCAGTTATAAACATAACATTGCTCATCAATCAACGCCTTTTGATTTGAGAAAAGCACCTCATTATAAAAACTAATTAAACATTATCATTCTCTCAAACATTTTAAACTCTAACTTGAGTCATTCATTTGAGCATTTTGGAAAACAAAATAGAGACTAATTGAAATTAAAGGGACAAGTCCCTAGAGCATTTTGGAAAACAAAATAGAAACTAACTGAAATTTAAGGGACAATTTTGAGCTTTAGAAAGGATTTTGGGTTGCCGATTGATTGAACGATTGGGAAAAAGGGGAGGGAAAAAAAGCTGTTTTGTTAGTATGTAGATGTTACTTTGTAAAAATAGATGTTCAAAGATTTTAGATTGTGTTGTTGTTTCAAGTATTGCTAAAATTATGTTCCAATGATAATCCCTCGAGGGAAAATGATTGTTTTAGTGTGATTGTTGATGAGTTTTATTTAAGATCTAATTCGAGCAAGCCTTTTTGTTAAGACATATAATAACCCAATTCGAATACACATACTTGTACACTTCTCTCTAAATAAAAAACTTCGAGTATGCCTTAATCGAAAGCTTTGAGTATGCTGTCAAAATTTAACTCTACTCAAAACGGATCAACTTCTTCCACACAACATTGAACTTCACTCAAAAAGCTTTTTGCAACTTTTTACCCCATGAAAAAGGATTAATTAACAACCATAAACCTGATGAATTCCATGAAGAATCAAAGATGTGGATACTTTCACATGCACGTTCCTAGGAGTATAAAGTTGACTATAAACTAGAATCAATCAAGAGTTACAGGATTACGGCTCATCAATGGATTGATAGAAAGAGTGTGTACAAGAGAATAACACTATGTAACTTCTTCAACAGTACTTCACATCACAAAATTAGCACAATTTTTACTAGTTTTCAAGAGTTTTTTAGGCATTAGAAGGCAGAGGCAATTAAGGAAAAGAAAATGGAAAGGCCTTTTTTCCTTTTGAGGCATTCAAATGAACAATACAAAACAAGCGAGAAGAAGACAACTGAACCAAAGCAAGATTTCGACTGCAAATGACAAAGCAGGGAGCCAGTTTAGTTTTGTTAGGAATCGTTTCAAATTTGCACACCCTCTTTTAAGAAACTGATTCGCTAATTTGTATTTTATTAATACCCTCTCCCGAGGAAGAATAAAGTTTTGTATCCCATTGGTGTAAGTTTGAATTTTTGTATGCAAATATGACTATCCCCGTTCTTTACATTTTCTAGCAATTTCTCTCATTTTCTCATTGTTAAGAAATCTGATTCAAGTCAAAAAATAATGAAGAAATAATTATAACAAAGTTATTTTCTTTTGAGTTTAAGTGTATGTAAAGTTTTAATCTTAACCCCAAGGGGTTGGCCGATGTTTGCTCTCTTCATGAGTTCTTGGGTTCAAACTTTAGGATTATCTACTATAATAATATTGTGGTTTACCTGGTCCTTTAAACTTGTAAGGTATTCAGTGAACTTCGATGATTAGTTGAGATGCGCGTAAGCTAACTTGGACACCTCGGTTACCCAAAAAAAAAAGAAGTTTCAATTGGATCGTTGTATTTTTTTTATAACAGTGAGAAAATTAAGATCTTAGTTATAAGAAGAATTATTCTAAAATTCCCTGGAGATTTGGGCATTGTTAATGTGGGATATTAGCTTTCTGCAGCTGGAGCTATGTATGGTTAGGTTACATAGGGTGTGGGCTGTCCCATTTGTATTGCTGGTTGAATTGGTTTCTCCCTGGGCCTTTTGAAAGAAGAGAAAGACTAGATAAAAATGCCTCTGAATCTTCCAATTTGGGGAAGTGAAGCAAGGATTTCTTGATGACTGTTCGAAAACTGAAAGGCTCGTTCTTTTCGAGGACAATAGCAGCTGCATCTATTTTTGAGTAACTGTAATGTGGAGTGGCAGTTCTGAAATAATTCCACAACTCTGTCGGCCCAACAAGCTTTTCAAAAGATAAAGGGAAATATGATGTGCTACTATTACTGCTGGAAAAACTGCCAACGATTATGCTTCGTTGCCTAATGGAAAATGACATAGGAATGTACAAACAGTTTCGAGTATCACAGCCAGTCCCTTCTGCATCAACTAGCCCAAGGCAACCAACCATGCAGAGTTGCCCACTCGAAGACTTCCAAAGTCCCTCAGCAGCAACGGTCAAGTTGCTTACCCCATATCTCCATGCAGCATTATGTCTATTTTCCAATGGAGGGACAGCTCGAAATACTGCAGCAACCTTTGCTGAGCTGGCGTTGCCCTTTCCATGTGTTTGTTGACACCTAAGGTTCTGAATTAAAATTGTGACATCTTTAAAGCTTCCATCTGTTGCTTGAATTGCTTTGTCTGAACCAAATGGACCCAGCTTACTACAAAAATTGTCTGTGCCATTGCATTTCCAGTATGGCACGACAGTGAGAACTCCTGCACGACCAAAAGCTCCTCCAGTAGTAACCTGCTCTAAAACTTCACAAAACCTACCACTCCCTTTATAGATATCAATGCCGCCTTTCAAGAAGCTATCTTGGTAGGGATACGGGTCACATGCCTTTGAAACAATCTTCTCAGCACCAAACTCATAGTGTGCTGACCTGCCAAATTGGGACAAAATGTGAACTTTGTCAAAGTACTTCTGATTTGACTTTGGGTTTAAACTGCTCATCTCCCCTCGTATTGCCCTATTTGTAAGCGTGAAAGTCATAGGGGAATTAAGCACAAGCAGAATTTGATCATCTTGCAAAAGTGGTGGCTGGTAATAATTCTGATCAGAGCCCTTCATCCATTCCCATGGATTGTTCGAATCAGACTCCCTAGACGGTAACATTGCAGTCCCCAACAAACATAACACCCTTTCACCACCATTTTTCTTAGTTTCAGTATATATCCCTTGAAATGACATTGAAATTTGAGTATGATTAGGCCATATCTGAAATTGAGGGCCTCCCCCTTCATAAGGTTTCTCAGAAAATGAATCATCTAGTGTTATACCAATAAGCATGTCCCCTCTTACACTAACATATTTCTTCGAACGATGCTTAAGATCAACGTCTGTAACCCAGAAAGAAACCAGTTTCAAAGGGTTTCGAGATGACTTCTTCGGGATGTCCCTATCATCAAATGGCATGATTGGGGCATCACCCACCTCCTGCTCCCAATCACCACTCTCTACATTGAGATCATCTTTGATACTATAAAACCTACTATCATCAACCTTCAACTCACTAGCAGAAGATAAAACAAAACCACATTTCTTCTTCACTTCATCAATCCTATCATAGTTGTAGGTCACACTTTCAGTTTTATACTCAGTGACCACATCTTGGAAGTATTCACCATTGAACCCAAAAACAAATGATCCATACACAATACAAACAAAAATAACCAACAATACACTCTTCATAATTCCAAAATCTCTGTACTCAAATCACTCTTTCAAAATCTCTCACCTACCCACTACCTAAAAGCCACAAAACTCCTACACCCAATTATTCAAATACATTATAGAAGAAAATCAAAGTCGCAGTTTTGACACTCACCCACAAAACTTTACCCTGCAATTCAATCATCATGATATCATAATGAAAACAAAGCTTGCAGTTTGGCGGGTAAAATACAATTCAATACTAACCTGAAACTGGTTTGTCCTTTGTATTTTGTTGCAAAGAATTCAGTATAAAATTAAATGCCCACAAGTTGAAAGTTTGGATCTTTCGAGATGAAGTAAGAGTTCGTTGAGTGAAGTTGACGAAAGTTTGGATCTTTAGCTAAGAGAGAGAGTTGAGTGAAGTTGAAGTCTCTGATGAAAACTAGTTATTGTTAAATATTTTGTCATTATTATTATTATTTTTTACTGGTTTCATCTCTTGATATTTTATCCCACTCGTTCCCTAGGCGCGTGTATGCAATCACGTGTACGAAAAATATATATTATTTTTATTTAAAGAAAAATGATGTCTTAATAAATGAATTTTTATTAAAAATTATCTCAGTTACTAAATTTATTCCGACAATTGGTCCAATTTCCAAGTAATTTTGGTAATTTTGATATTTTAGATTTGATCCAATGTTTTGAAATTCAATATGATTGAATATATATTGATATATGGATATTATTAATTAGTTTAGTTAGTGAAAATTAAAACCATAAAGACTGATAGAATTGAGTTTTGTTTACTCCATGGTTGAAAGCAACTGAATTTAGTTTACGAATTATGAATGTTCCATCAATAAATTATACCAAGTGAAAGAGTATTTTTAGAATTTTATATAATTTTTTAGGGTTTTTTTTTTCCACCCCTGAGAGATCAACTAATCTTTTTACCACACCCAAGGCCTATATATCCCTCTGATGTTAAAACGGTGGTTTAAAAAGTCAACGAACGTCAACTAAAGCAAGATTATTTTGATCATTTTGCTAGCGCAAAAATCTAAAACAAGATCTCCTTGTCTCTCAACCGGGCAACCGTGAGTCACAAGATGATATTTGAAGATTAGAAACCCTTTTGTTTGCCGATTTGCGATGATGGATGATTGTGGTTGAATCGTATGCGTCGATGGTCGGATTCATGGATTTTAGGTGGTGGCCAGATTCATGGATGTTAGGTGGTTATTTCAGCTGTTGGTATGGTTGAATGTTGTGTGTGCATGTTCCGGCAGGATTCAAGGACGTTGGTGTAGTAAGTTTCGGCTGGATTCAAGGTTGTGCTCCGGCAGTGCAACCCGAGCAGTTTGTGTGCAGCTACTGCGTTGCGACGCAAGCCCAGGCGTGGGGCTGTCACTGCCGTCAGCAGCAGCTGCAAGGCCTAGTGGCATGGCGGCTAGGGTTTCCCTTTTTGAGTAAAAGATGAAGCCCAACCTGCAGGGGCCAAACTGTCAGTTTCCAAACCTGCCAAATGAATTTTATGAAAAAACAATTTTTGTTCAAATGAATTTTTTTTTTTTTAAAATGTAAATTGAATTTGTTAGAAAAAATTGTTAAAATGACTTGTATCAAAAAATTGGATGGAACCCTTGTATTTAACTGACAGTAGGGGGATATTAATACTTTTCCAAAACCTTTGGTGTCGTTCTATTAGCTGATCTTTCAGGGTGGTGAAAATACACCTTAATATTAAAATTAAAAGAATATTATTATTATTTTTTTACGGTCAGCGGTTGATGTACACGAAATATGAAGAGCGTGAGAAATGTGTAGCTGAAGACAATCTGCCCAATTTTAGTTGTCTTAAGCCCATCATCTTGGGATATAAGAAAGAAGTAAGACAAAGACACACAAACTAAATTTTTATTATTTAATAATAATAATATTAATATTAATACTTGATCCATTTAACACGACGATGGTCCAGGCCTTTCAAAATATTTTTCAAATAAAATTATATATCAAATTAAATTTTGTATTCCCCACCTCAGAAAATCATCCATAATGTATAAAAAAAAAAAAGAGATTGAAACTTCAATATAAACCGATTTCTCAAACAAAAACAGAGCACTCTGTTTAAGCTACTCTGTATATGTTACAATTCAATGAAAGAATATAGCAAATCAATATCATCAAACAAGAATGTGTATTTGCTACTTCATAATTAATTTTAGCAGAAGCATAAAAAGTTTTACTTTCTTGTATACAAAGAAAAAGAACTGTTGTCCGCAATTGTTAATGAAAGATGCACAATATGTCACACCAGGTGAGTATCGCCTAATGAATCATTGAGATATCTCATTTCTCTCCGCCATTCAAAACAGCTTTGATCATTTAAGCATCAGAGTGTTCTTCTCGCCGAAGAAACTTGTGGCAGTAGTCCTAATTGAGCTTTGTTTGCAGGTAGGGGCCTCAATTGATCAGTTTTTAGTTTATCAGCAAAGCTTCCCAATGTAGATTAAACTCTGTATTGTGAATGGTGCACAATCTGCCAGTAAATATAAATGTTCAAAATCATAATTAGCAATCTTGTTCAAAAATAAAGAACGGTATAGTTGCACAATGTGACTGAGAAAAGTTTTCTTTTTGCCTTTTAAACAAATACAAAGAAAGAATCCGTGTAAATTACGCAAATATGAGGAAGCTCACCAAACAATCTAATGTCATACCACAAATGTGCGTGAGCTTGTTTCATCAACTGCAACTTCTTCTGTTTCACAAACATGAATGAACTTTCTGCCATTGTTATGGCCTTAAGTAGTTCTAGTGCTTCATCAGTGACTGCAAGAGAACAATAAATTTTCAGTATTAGCTATGGATTTGTCCTGTGTGAAAAAAAGTTTAACCAGTCACAAAATGTTGTGATGCGCTTCCAAATTCAACATCCACAATGTTGGATTGAAATTGTAAAAAGAAACTTACACTTAAATGGTGCAAACATGATAGACATTCCTTTCTCTTTCTGCATAATATGAATCTTCTGTAGATGGAAACTGATGCCTAGTTTAAATTAGATGAAAGAGAATCAAATTACTTAGAATGAGATGTTCTTTTTTCATATTAAAAGGAATGTATAAAAGCATGATTTTGTGAAGCTCGTGTCATATTTCACCTTTGAGATTGATTCTAAAAGAAAACCAAGGCAGGTTAAACTTGTTCCACTACATCAGAGGGAAGTGCAATTTCAGATTTTCAGTATTAACCATGGACCTGTCCTGCATGCAAAAAGTTCAACCAGTCACACAATGTTGGATTGAAATCGGGAAAAGAAACTTACACTTCAGTGGTGCACAAATGATCGACATTATTTTCTCTTTCTGGATGATATAAATTTTTTGTAAATGGAAACCGCTGCCTAGCTTAAATTAAATGAAAGAGAATCAAATTACTTAGAATGAGATATTCTTTTTTCAGATTTAAAGGAATGTAGAAAAGCATGATTTTGTGAAGCTCGTATCATACTTCACCTCTGAGATTGATTCTAAAAGAACATCATGGCAGGTTAAACTTGCTCCACTACATCAACCGGAAGTGTAATTTCAGATTTTCAGTATTAACCATTGATTTGTCCTGCATGAAAAAAAGGTTAACTAGTCACACAATGTTGTGATGTGCTTCCAAATTCAACATCCACAATGTTGAATTGAAATCGGGAAAAGAAACTTCTTCAGTGGTGAAAAAATGAGACATTATTTTCTCTTTTTGTATGATACAAATCTTCTATAGAGGGGAACTGATGCCTAGATTAAATTAGATGAAAGAGAATCAAATTACTTAGAATGACATATTCTTTTTTCAGATTTAAAGGAATGTATAAAAGCATGATTTTGTGAAGCTCGTGTCATACTTCACCTTTGAGATTGATTCTAAAAGAACATCATGGCAGGTTAAACTTGCTCCACTACATCAACGGGAAGTGTAATTTCAGATTTTCAGTATTAACCATTGATTTGTCCTGCATGAAAAAACGTTTAATCAGTCACATAATGTTGTGATGTGCTTCCAAATTAAACATCCACAATGTTTGATTGAAATCAGGAAAAGAAACTTACACTTCAACAGTGCACAAATGATAGACATTCTTTTCTCTTTCTGCATGATATAAATATTCTGTAGATGGAAACTGATGCCTAGTTTAAATTAGATGAAAGAGAATCAAATTACATAGAATGAAATATTCTTTTTTTAGATTAAAAGGAATGTATGAAAGCATGATTCTGTAAGCTTGTGTCATACTTCACCTTTGAGATTGACTCTAAAAGAAAATCACGGCAGGTTAACTTGTCGCACTACCTCAAAGGAAAGTGTAATTTCAGATTTTCAGTATTAACCATGTATTTGTCCTGCATGAAAAAAAGTTTAACCACTCACACAATGTTGTGATGTGCTTCCAAATTCAATATCCACAATGTTGGATTGAAATCGGGAAAAGAAACTTACACTTTTTTTTTTTGGTAAGTAAGAAACTTACAATTCAGTGGTGCAAAAACCATAGACATTCTTTTCTCTTTCTGCAAGATATAAATCTTCTGTAGATGGAATCTGATGCCTAGTTTAAATTAAGTGAAAGAGAATCAAACTACTTAGCATGAGATATTCTCTTTTCAGATTAAAGGGAATGTATAAAAGCATGATTTTGTGAAGCTCGTGTCATACTTCACCTTTGAGATTGATTCTAAAAGAAAATCATGGCATGTTAAACTTGCTCCACTACATCAATCGGAAGTGTAGTTTAAGATTTTCTTAACCAGAAAAGGCTTTACAAAATCCTAATAAGCGAAAAAGATAACCAGAAGGTCGAAAACTAACCTCAAGAAGCCATAAAAGGATCTCATTGGAGAATTTACTCCACACAAAAGCTGCATAATTTATTCAGCAAGAGAGCAGTTATCAGTATATATATGTTAACATTTGATAATTTTAAAAGTTTTATTTTTGAAAGATCTATAGCTTTAGCTAACATTCTAAAAGTCATACCCGCCATTGATTGTTTAATTTGATTGTGAAAGGCTAGCATGCAGCAGTATCCAATTCTATTTTTTATTCTCTCACCTTCTACTCCCGTAGTTGGACATATTTCAATTTGGGGAAGAAGAATAACTGATGAACATAAGAACTGTCAATCTTCCTAAAAATCTCATCCCAATAAAATAGAGCCACAAAGCATTAAACTTTCTTTCACGACCTAATACAAAATTAAGGGTGCTAGTTTATTAAACTTTCCAAAGCAGAGCTCAAACAGGTCACATTGTAAGCATTTAATCAATCTTCCCCTCCCTTGCAACATTAAACATTATCAAGTACAGCATTTGAAATGAAAGCATAAACGAAATATGTATATTGAATATCAATTACCAATCACCTGGTTTCTTGTTTCATTGCATAACTGGGAATACCAAATTAGCCCCAACCTGAAAATGTAATGGAAATTTCTTCTGAGGCTGTAAAAATAGTAACACATATATTCAATGATTGACCAATTTGAACTTCAATTTCAAAATTGTAAGTATTCTTTGTAGCAGAATTATTCATGCCCAGAATACTTAAAATACGTAATATTTCTCAAAAATATAATTGAAACAGAGCTCAATTACTTATTACCTGTGGCTTGTGTGGTGATGGTTATTGCTGACCTTGCACATTTCGACAAACAATGTAGAGATTAGGGATGTGAGAGATCTTGGGCGAGTCCTCTCCTGTTTCCTTCTCGTATTGTAAATAATGTAAAGGTTAAAATTGACTCTCATATGAAAATTGCAAGTACCCCAAAAATTAACCAAGGAAACCCTAGCTTGCAAGGGCTAATTTGTCAGTTTCCAAATATAATTTAATAAATGTTCAAAAAAATAAAATTTGGTAAATGAAGAAAAGCGTTAAGGGAATATTTAGTACTTTTCGAAAACCTGGGTGTGGTTTATAATTTTATATTAGTTGATCTCTCACGGATGAAAAATAGAAACCCTAATATTAAAATCAAAAGAATACTGATTTTTTTAGGCCCAGCGGTTGATGTACACGAAACATGAAGTGCGTGAAGACAATCTGCCCAATTTTAGTTGTCGTTAGCCTATCATTTTGGGACATGAAAAGGAAAACAAAGACACACAAACTGAAATTTTTATTTATTTAATTTAATATTAATATTAATATTTGATCCAATTAACATGGCAATAGTCGAGGCCTTAAAATATTTTTCAAATAAAATTATATATCACATTAAATTTTGCAATAGATAACATCTTTTCAACTAAGCTTTCTACATAGATAGCTATTCTATATTTCTGAATTTTATTAATTTTTATTTATACTAAAATAAAATAATAACTCACAGAAGAAGAGAAAATCATCTATAATGTATAAATTAAACTCTGTATTGTGATCGGTGTATAATCTGCCAGTAAATATAAATGTTCAAAATCATAATTAGCAATCTTGTTCAAAAATAAAGAACCGGATAATTGCACAATGTCATTGAGAAAAGTTTTATTTTTGCCCTTAAAACAGATACAGAGAAAGAATCGGTGCATATTATGCAAATATGAGGAAGCTCACCAAACAATTTAATGTCATGCCACACATTTACGAGGGCTTGTTTGATCAACCACGTCTTCTTCTGTTTCACAAACATGAATGAACTTTCTGCAATTGTTATGACCCTTAAGTAGTTCTAGTGCTTCATTAGTGACGGTAAGAGAACCATAAATTCTCAGTATTAACCATGGATTTCTCCTGCATGAAAAAAAGGTTAACCGGTCACAATGTTGTGATGTGCTTCCAAATTCAATATCCACAATGTTGGATTGAAATCGGGGAAAGAAACTTACACTTCATTGGTGCAAAAATGATAGAAATACTTCACCTTTGAGATTGATTCTAAAAGAAAATCATGGCAGGTTAAACTTGCTAGCTCCACTACATCAAAGGAAAGTGAAATTTCAGATTTTCTTAACCAGAAAAGGCTTTCTGAAATCCTAAATAAGCGAAANAAATGAAAAAGAATCAGTTATTAATTGTAAGAATATCAAAAAAAATAAAAATAAAAATATTTTTATTATGTTATTTTAAATCAATATTTATTTACATATTTTAAAGTAATTAATTAACTTATTACCATCCTTATCAGATTCCAGGCCTAGTTAGTAAATACAGGTACGGCAAAAAAAAGATAGGGAATTTTACGGGTATGATACGGCAAATGGTGAAAAATACGTTTGTAAAAATTCGTTCATAAAATTCAGATACGGAAAAAATACGATACGGGTATATACAGGTTTAATACAATACATAGTTAATAATACGTTTTGAAAAATATAGCAATATTAATCCTAGTTTTAGCACTTTTCATGGGCTACTTGATTAAAATCTATATAACATTTCAAATATGCGGGTACGGCAAAAAAATGGTACATAAATTTTACAGCTATAATATGGAAAATGGTAAAAAATACGTTTATAAAAATTTGGCAAAATTCGACAAAAATTCGGATACAGGGAATAATTCGTGAATAATACGACTGAGGTATATAATTTGTGAATAATATGGCTGAACTTATAAAATACAGTTGCTCACGAATAATATGCAAATTATTCGGATGGACATATAATTCGCGAATTTACAAACTCCAAGGGAAGAATCACAAACATTTTGTCAATAATTTTATTTTATTTTATTTTATTTTTATTGGTTGCATTTGTTGGCGTTTTATCCCACTCGTCTTCTAGGTGCGTGTAATGTAATCAGGCATATGAAATACATGTTATTAAAATGAAAGGAAACTAATGTATTTTAAGTAAAAGGAAATTTTGAATAAATTACATCATTTATTTACTCCAACTAAAAGTCTAGCAAAATCGACCAATTAATTCAAATCTATCCAATTTCGATTTAATTGGGTTTCGGCTGACAAAAACTCAAACTTCAAAGATAATATCTCAACTTTAATATGTTATAGTCATCGTACCAAAAATTTGTACACTAAATGACATAAATTTGAACACTAAATGACATAATAAAATTCAGACTATAAATTAATATTAAGTTAAAATTAATAAGTAGTTAAAATTTTATCACGTTGTTTAATACATAAAGGCCGAACAATTTTTGCATACACAAAGTTTGTCGAAACGACAAGTTGGTACTTAAAAGGTTTTGAAACGACAAATAGGTACCTTCCGTCATGTTCTGTTAGTGATTTTCGTTACATAATAGTGAAAAGACTAAAATGCCCTTGAAAGTTTAATTTTTAGTTTTTTTATAAATTTAAAAATTTCTAAAAAACCCCCTAGGTTTGCTAATTTGACTAAACACCCCAATATATAAAAATTTTATAAAATAACAAAAACACCCCCGCCTCCGCAGTGCCAGATTCCGGCCGCCACCGCCGGAATCTGGCCAGAAAATTGCGTTACGACACAGACCCATCGGATCTGTGTCGTAACGAGTAGATCTTTCATTTTCCGGCAAGATCCGTGGCTGATCTGGCCGAAAAAGGCCAGATCTACGGCCAGATCTGGCCGTTGAGACCGGAAACTTATCAGAAAATTGTGTTACGACACAGACCCATCGGATCTGTGTCGTAACACGTCGATCTGGCATTTTCCGGCCAAATCCGTGGAGGATCTGGCCGGAAACGGATCTAGCCGGAAAAGGCCAGATCGGTGTGTTACGACACAGAACCATCGGATCTGTGTCGTAACACAATTTTTCGGCCAGATTCCGGCGGTGGTGGCCGGAATCTGGCACTGTGGATGCGCGGGTGTATTTGTTATTTTATCAAGTTTTTATATACTGGGGTATTTAGTCAAATTAGTAAACCTAGGGGGTTTTTTAGAAATTTTTAAATTTATAAAAAACTAAAAATTAAACTTTCAAGGGCATTTTAGTCTTTTCACTATTATCTAACGAAAATTACTAACAGAACATGATGGAAGGTATCCATTTGTCGTTTCAAAACCTTTTGGGTATCGACTTGTCGTTTCGACAAACATTCGTGCTCCTACATAATTTTAATACGCTTGGGTTTCCTCGATCACGTAAATTTTCCCGTGTACGCACAACACATCCGGTCCCCTGCCGAGTTCCAGAACTTCGGGTTCCTAAAGCTGCTCCGACGCCTCCTCTTCTTGCTCTGTCTCCCGCTGCTTCGAACGCCTTCTCTAGACCCCTCCTCCCATCCGACTCCAAAACTTCTTCTTGTTACTATCCTCGCCCAGTTCCTGTCTTTCTATCAAATGGGCGCAAACTCCATTCTCTCCTCTTCCCTACACGCTCTCTGTCTCTTCCAAAACCACAGAAATGCCCTAAAACCCATTCAAACCTCTCTACTATCCAACACCAACCCTGTTCCCCTTCCACCCGCAACCCCTCCCCTTGTAGACTCACAAGCAAAACCCTCTTCACTCTCCGCTCGCATAGCTTCCATCTTTGAACTAATGACCAATCGAGTAAGCCACACAACTTAGATAACGACGAACTCTACAAGTATACGCTTGGCGGCCATGCAAAACAGACTCACAACCAAGAAGGATGTAGACACCCATAACGGTGCAAAACCCAGAAGTTATTTCGTGTGAGAAGCCCGGAAAGGTTATTCTGCGAGAAAACAAGTATTGGGAACGAGTGACAGGATGGAGTTGTTCATCCATGCTGGATTGGATTGAATTGATGGAGAGCATGGTGGAACAGATTACTTTCGGATCATAGAGAGAAAATGAGGACAAAATGGTGAAAGATTTGGGATTTGAAGTGGGTTGAGGATGAGTGATATGAATTGATATTTACTCTTCAGGACCTGATTCATACGACTTGTTATTTGGGAAGACCGTTGGTATCCTGAGGTAACAGATTGCAAATCTGCTTTTTGAAATGACGAACTGCTTTGGTTCTGCTTGTATATGTTGTGACTAAAATTGTTATTAATCTGCAGTTAGGCGCATGTAAGTGTTTTCTGATTGCTACTACTGTGGTTTTATTTAGATGAAGTCTAATTAAACAATCTTGAGTGAAAATTTTATGTATAGGCGTAGACGTATAGTGTAAATGCCTTAGATATTAGCCTAATTTGGCAAGTGATTCACTTTGGCTGGGGGGTGAAATGTGCTATAGACAAATGTTTGATTTCCAGTCCTTGTTGAACCAGAATATGGGTCAAACTTTGGTTGGCTGATGGATCCCAGTGCAGACAGAAGGTCGTTTTCCTCTCTGGCTAGCTAGTGCGGAAGGCAGTGCCACCTTGATGAAGGATTGTAAGGTTACTCTTTCCTAAATTGATGCTTAGTTCACTCTGTACACAGATCTTGTGATATCCTTCTAGCTCCTCTTTCTAAGTTTTGGTTCATTGCATCTTTAAATTTCGTAGCTTTGTAACTTGTTTGCCTTGTTTTGTCCTGGGGGCAAACGTATATCATGATTCCACTTTAATAACACTTGCAAGATTTACCATTGTTACATCGTGAGATGAATACGAAAACCATCAAATCTAAAAGATGGTTTTTTCAGTTATGATAATGATTGTGTCTGGTACCAGGTCGGATCGTGCTGCATCTTGAGGAGTCTCCTTCCAAAATAGCATATTTACGTACAATAAAGAGGATTAGACTTGATAGACCCATCGATGTTATGCGTGTTCTAGTGACTTGTGGTATGATCCTGGAATGGATCATTGTATACGCCCTCTCAACAAATCTGTGAAAATGTGTCTGAAGTTTCCAAGATATCCCAATCTTCCTACCCCAGTACTCACAAAGCACCTCCTCCAAAGTTTAGGCAACCTCCTCCACCCCAAACGATGTGGGAACAAGATGAGTTTGAGATAACAAGGGGGGGGGTGGAGGGAAAAGGAAGGAAGGGGGGTGTGGAG